TCCCTCGCTTGCGTTGGCGGGTTGTCACCATGGAGGAGATGGTGATCTGGGAGCAGCACACGGTGACGCTGAGCAAGGTGAGCATGGCCCAGAGGGGACGGGGGAGGGGACGGGGTCTGTGGGACCAGCTCTGCCTGACCCCTCTCTGCCCGTCCCCGCTAGGACCCTCAACGGGGCTTTGGCTTCGCTGTCTCTGGAGGCCGGGACCGTCCCAACAGGATGACCGGGGACACAGCGGTGGTCGTTTCGGATGTGGTGTCTGGGGGACCGGCAGTGGGCCGGCTCCGGTGGGTGCGTGGGGACGTGGGGACATGGCAGGTGCTCGCTGCCAGCGGGGACGGGAAGGGCAGTGAATCGCTCCTGCTGGGACAGGGCCAGCACTGCTGCCACCCTGCCCGGCTGGGATGGGGTCCCCCTGGGGCAATGGGTGCTCTCGCTACCCCACCAGCTCCCCCGGCTGGGGGCTGCACCTGGGGCAGAGCCACGGCTGCGTTTTCCCTCCCAGGAGGAAGGATCACATTGTGATGGTGAACGGCCTTTCCATGGAGAACGTCTCGTCCTCCTTCGCCATCCAGACACTTAAAACCTGTGGCAAGATCGCCAACATCGTGAGTGTGCCCTGTGGCGGGACAGGGGCCGGCATTGTGCACGGGACCGCACCGTGCCTGTCCCCGTCCCGGCTCCCGTGTCCCACGCACCCCGGGGTTCCTGTTCGGGGCTTGGAAATTGCTGTAGAAACATCTCGTGGCAGAGACAGCTGCACCCACCATCCTCTCCTCGCTTTCCACCTGCAGACACTGAAAAGACCAAAGAAAGTCCACCTCCCCGTGAGCAAGAGCAACCCCGGGTCCCCCACCACACCCCGGCGCTATGACTCGGATGAGGACTATGGGTTGCACGGTGCGGATCCAGCCCTGCACCGCTCCCGGGACGACCTGGACCACAGCCAGGGCTACGACGGGGACTCATCCAGCGAGAGGAGCTCTGGCCACCACCGGGATGACCGCCGCCACCACAAGTCGGTGTCCCGGAGCCGGCGGAGAAGCCAGGACAGCAGCCACTGGAGGCAGAGCCCTGGGGGGCTACAGCCGGCACCGCTCCACCAATGGCTTCGGCCATGAATGGGACACCAATGGGCTGGCCCTGGTGTCGGGCTTCAAGCGGCTGCCGCGCCGGGATGTGCCGATGAAGCCCATCACGTCTGTCCTGGTGAAGCAGAAGCAGAATGAAGGTGAGGCCCTCCCGCTCCCTCTGTCCCTGGGTCCTGTCGCCTGATTTGTGGCTGTGTGTCCCCCTGGGGAGGAGGCGATGGCAGGGTTGGTGCCAGGGTCTGGCATGCGGCGAGGGGGCAGTGCATGCCGTGCTGGGTGCATCAGACCTGCCTGGCCTCAGCCCGGGGTTGCAGAGCTCAGCTTTGGGGCTTGCTAGTGCCCCAAGGAGAGCCGGGGCGGGCCTGTGGGGATGGTGGTGAGGGGAGACCTCGAGGGGGTTCTGCATCTGCCTGGCTCCGGCACTGTCATGGGCTCTCTCTGGTGCAGAGTATGGCCTCAAGCTGGGAAGTCAGCTTTTCGTCAAGCACATAGTGGAGAGCGGGCTGGCGGCAAAGGGCAGCTCCTTGCAGGAGGGAGACCTCATTCTGAAGGTATGGGGGCCCAAGGGGTGCACAGCACTTGCTGGGGATCTCCTCCCCCTCTTCAGGTGGCTCATCCCCAGCTAGTGTCACTGCAGGGGACAAGCCAAGAGCGTGCTTCTCTCGGCTGCCTGCAAAGGATGGCAGCTTGGCTGGAGGCAGCTCCGTCTGGTGCCCGCACCCTGCCCTGGCTCCCCAGCCATCACCAGGGACCCTGCGTGGGCTCTCGGGGACCAGCTCCCCGCGATGCTGAGGCTGGCTGGTTGAGGCAGCCCTGTGGTGTTCAACCAGGGACGGTAGCTTGTCCCGCTGCCACAGCGGGATCTTGTCTGCCCCGCTGTCCCCATGGCACGTGGTCCCCTGCCACGTGTGCATGTCCCCGCCGGGGGAGCAGTCGGCCCAAGGAGCTCAGGTGTTCAGGGTATGTCAGGTGAAATGATGCTTAAAGTATTTGGGGAGGAGGAAATAGAGGGACGGAGACGCTTCATTTGCACACGTGGGCCAGGCAGACCCGTGGCTGCTGGGAACTGGGGCCAAAGTGACTCTAGGGCAAAAAGGAGGGGTTTCATCCCAGCAATCCGGTGGGAAAAGCTGCTGCATCTCAGGGAAATCACAGCCCCATGGTCCGCTTGGAACCTGACTCCTCGGCACCAGTCCAGTGTGACGAAGGACAGAGCTGGGCCAAGGTCAAAGTAAAACTGAGCTTCAGACAGCATCTGAGCAGGTCTCTGCAGCTCCTGCCTCCGTGCAGGGCCCTCCTGCAGCTAAAGGTGGGAGTTAATTAGCCTTGCTAATTTATTTTCTCTGTGCAGGATGAGGCCCCACTGGGAGGCAGCCAGGAACGGGGACACGGCCCAGGATAGGCGAAGCCGTGGGAGCTGCGGCCGGGCTGGAGCGGCTGGGAAGGGACCGGGAAAGTGGCAGTCAGAGCATCCCGTTCGAGCGGGGCTTTCCTGGGGGCAGCTTTCCCAGGAGTGACTGCCCTGAGGCCTCCTGCTCTGCCCCCTCCAGATCAACGGGGTGGCCAGCGAGGACATGTCCCTGGCTGACACGCAGCAGCTCATCGAGCAGACGGAGGGGACCCTGACCCTGCTCATCCTCCGGGACCACCGGCAGTTCCTGGTCAACATCCCTGACATAGAAGACAGCCAGAGCGAAAGCTCCCAGATGGATGGTGAGGGGACACAGTGACAGGGCTGGGGGCCAAATACACAGCACAGGCACTGGATGGTCACTAATGCGTCTTCCCTCCTGTTGCTGCAGATATCTCCGACATTGACTCTGAACTGTCCCATCCGCCATCCCCTGAGACCTCCGCACGACCTCCAGCTGCTGCCAGGATGAATTCACCACCGTAAGCCCTGCTCTGTCCCCATGAGCCCCTCTTTCCCTTGTCAGATCCCCCTGTGTTCTCTGCCTGTCTGGAGGTGCTGGTTCTCCTCCATCCTGGAGCCAGTTCACCCTGGGCTGCCATTTAGCCCCCAGCTTGCTCCACTGTCCCCGCTGCCCATTTGGCACTGCCTGCCCGTGCCCATCCAGTGCCTGCCTCTGTGACCTGCCTAAATCCTGCCCCAACTTTGTTCCAGGGAGAGGAGGCGATCGAACAGGGACCCTGCAGTCGACACGATCGTGAACGATGCTCGGGGCCCTGGTGAGTGAGCTCAGATCAGGCCAGGGGAGCTAAGGGCACTGAGTGGGCTTCAGGCTCCTGCGTGTCTCTGCTGTCCAAACCCCGTGGCAGAGCTGTGCCAGGTCTCCCCGTGCCTCAGCTGCCCCGGCAGCGATGCAGCCACTGCCGCCTCCTGGACCAGCCCTCCTTCCCTGCAGACCTGCTGGAAGCTGTAGAGGGGGATGGCTGCCACAGCCCCCACGCCAGCCACGCTGCCCGAGCTGCCCGCAAGGATGGGTGCGTCTGCAAGAGGTGGTGGGGAAGGGCTGGGGGAGATGGGGAGCTACTCCAGTGCAGGGCTGGGGTCACAGGGCCAGTGACCCCCTGTGCTGTCCCCGGCATGTCACCACTGGGCTGACTGTGGCTTCCCCCGTGGCAGGTACAGCGCTGACTGCAGGGTCGTGCACTTCGTGAAGGCCAAGAGCGTTGGGCTGCGGCTGGCCGGTGGGAACGATGTGGGCATCTTCGTGTCGAGTGTGCAGGAGGGGAGCCCGGCTGATGGCCAGGGCATCCGGGAAGGGGACCAGATCCTGCAGGTACCCGGGGCTGGAAACAGTTCCAAATGCTTCTGCACCTGGACTGGCCCCATCCCTCTTGGGTCTGATACCCCCCCCGGGGTTTGGATTTCTCCTGCTGGACATTGTTTCGGGTCAGTGCTGGTGCCCATGGCCCGTACCCATTGGGCTGGCTCGCTGGGCACTGCCTGAGGGGACGGTCCTGTCTCTGCCACCATGCTAACACCCAACGGGGTGCAGGCACCACCTCAGCTGGCCCAGAGGCCCTCCCCAGGGTTACTAGGGGTTGTGGCAGGCACTTGGGTGACAAAGACCAGTTACCCCCCCACCTTGCCCTGGGCACTGCCGCCCCTGGGATCCCCACTGGTACCTGCGCTCTCCGTCCCGCCGGTGGGGCCATGTCTAAGTGCTTTTCCGCGGCAGGTGAATGACACCAGTTTCCAGAACCTGACCCGCGAGGAGGCCGTGGAGTATCTCATGAGCCTGCTGCCGGGCGAGGACATCACACTGTGGACCCAGAGCAAGCAGGACAGTGAGTGACGACCGGACTCATCCTGGGCTTGTGCCTCTCCATCCTCTGTCTCTTCTGAGCAAGCATCAGAGCTGCTGGACTTGCCATGGCCCTTTCTGCCCCTGCAGGGTGGTCCTTCTTCCCACACCCCCCTCCTCCTCCTCCAGTGAGGTGATGGGAGGGGACCAGACCATCCCGGCCCTGTTCGTGCCTTGGCATCCTGGAGCACGGGAGCTTGCTGGCACCGTGGCTCAGCCTGGAGAGGCCAGTGTGTGCTGGGGGGTCAGGTCCTGCTGTTCCCAGCATGCCTGAGAGCGCCATGGGAGGAAAAGGTGTCCCCAATGCCCTCCTTAGCAGCAAGGGCTACTGTGGAGGCTCCTGGCCAGCCTGGCTCCTTCCCAAATCCCTCCAGCATCTTCCTCTCCAGCATCTTCCTCCTCAGCTACCTCTTCCCCTGATGGTCTCTCTCACCCTGGGCTCCAGTTTACAGGAAGATGATCTCGTCCAACATGGGCGACTCATTCTACATCCGAACACACTTTGACTTCGAGAAGGACACACCATCGGGGCTCAGCTTCGTCCGTGGGGATGTCTTCCATGTGCTGGACACCATGTACCGGGGCAGGCTGGGGAGCTGGCTGGCTGTGCGCATGGGCAGGGACCTGCAGGAGCAGGACAAGGGCATCATCCCCAACCGGAGCAGGTAGGGATGGAGCCAGGAACGGCCCCGAGATGAGCAGAGCCGGGGGATGGCTCCCCAGTGAGACGGGGACATGGATGGTGGGCCCAGTAAGAGGCAGGGCAAGGGCTGGGGGAGCAGCAGTGGGAAGCGTGAGCTGGTGAAATCCCTTCTCAGGGGTGATGGGGCAGTTGATACTCTGGATGTCCAAGGTCCTGGAGGAAAGAGGCTGCCACAGCCTCATCTGGCTGTGCCACCGAGTGTGGACGCTGGCTTCTCCTGCCCTACTCCTCGGAGCCCGGAGAGACAAAGCAGGGGGTAAATCCGGAGGCTCCAGATCCTGAGCCCTTTCCCCTCCCAGGGCCGAGCAGATCGCCAGCCTGGAGTCGGTGCTGAAAGCCACATCCAGTGCCAACCCCTCCGGGGCACGGGCCGAGTTTTGGAAGCTGCGGGGCCTGCGGGGAGCCAAGAAGATGCTGCGGAAGAGCCGGGAGGACCTGTCTGCCCTCACAAAGCAGGGCCGCTACCCGCCGTATGAGAGGGTGGTCCTGAAGGAAGGTGGGTACCAGGGCTGTGTCCCCCTCGCCCAGACCCACACAGGGGACATCGGCCCCAGGGCTGCCCCACTGCGGGTGCTAGCGGGCTCTGCTCTCCTGGGAGGAGCGGGGTGAGTCCCAGGCCCACGGGCACCTCGAGGAACGGGGCTGGATGCCACGAGCTCTGCCCTTGCCCGCAGCCTCCCTAAGCCGGTCTGTCTTCTCCCCACAGCCAGCTTCAAGCGGCCAGTGGTGATCCTGGGCCCCATCGCAGACATTGCCATGCAGAAGCTGAGCATGGAGCTGCCTGAGCTGTTTGAGATTGCCCGTAAGTGCCCCCCACGCCAGCAGGAAACTGTATCCAGCAGCCGGACCCTCAGTGTCCAGGACCTGTGGGAGCTCTTTACCTGTGGCTCCGTCCCGATCCTGCCTCATTGTCCCCCTCCCCGTGACACCCCAACACCTTCCTGGAATCAGTCACCCTCTCCCCATGTGTCACGATACCAGCCAGGCCCCAGACATGTCCATCCCCCCCCTCGAGGGACACAGCCCCGGGGTCGGACATGGCCAGACCCAGCCTGGGGCTGCTGGAGATGCCACATCTCCCCCTTAGCCCCTCTCATGCCACGTCTCCGTGTCCTGCAGTGAGTGTGCCCCAAGATGGGGCATCGTCCAAGGTCATCAAGTTGGACTCAGTGCGGCAGATCGCAGAAAAGGTGAGAGACCTTTCCCCTGTCCTTGGAGCTGGGTGGGCCAGGGCCTGGGGAGGGGCCCACGGCCTCCGTCCCTGTCCCCAGTGGGGCTGATGGCTGTGCCATGCCCCAGGACAAACATGCCTTGTTGGACATCACGCCCTCGGCTGTGGAGCGCCTCAACTACATGCAGTACTACCCGGTGGTGGTGTTTTGTGAGCCCGAGAGCCGGCAGGGCATCAAGGCTATGCGCCAGTGGCTGGCGCCCAACTCCAGGAAGAGCTCCCGGCGCCTCTATGCCCAGGCCAGCAAGATGAAGAAGTACTGCAGCCACCTCTTCACTGCCACTGTCAGCCTCAGCGGCAGTGGCAATGCCTGGTATGAGGCAATCAAGGATATCATCAGGACGCAGCAGAGCCAGCCCGTTTGGACGGCGGCGGAGCAGGTACGGGGCACGGGGTCCCCGTGGCAAGGCTCAGCCTGCTGGGGCTGCAGCCAGGCAGGTGAGGGGGCCGTGCACCCGTCCCCCCCCACACCTGGGGTCCCAGGTCTCTGTCATCCCCACCCCACAGGCAGATGTGGCGCTGGAGGACAGTCTGGACCTGCTGAACCCACCGCGTGCGGCGGCCTCAGGCTACCTGACCTGTGACAGTCACGCCAACAGCGACTATGACGACACCGACGGTGAGGCGGGCGCCTACACTGACGGCGAGGCAGAGGACGCCTACAACCAGCCTGGGCTGGCCCGCTCCTCCGAGCCAGTGCAGGTGTCCCCAAGCCACGGCCTGAGCGAGCAGGTGGGTCCCCCCATACTGGTACAAGGGGCTGGTGGGGCAGAGGTGGGGTGGCACAGTGCCCAGCTCTGGGGGCTAATTCCTATCCCCTGTGGCACAGACAGGGTGTCACCTCTAGCTGCTGCAGGGTCCGGCTGTGCATCTATGCCCAGCTCTGGTTCCCCACAGGGGAACACAGCCCAGCCCCAGGCTGGGGCACAAATCCTGCCCTTACCTCTGACCCCCCCCATCTCTCTGGTCTTTCACAGGTGACCGAACAGCAGCGGCAGGGCCAGCGCTACGACAGCATCAGGTACCCTGCGCGCCAGGGCCAGCCCCGGGGGTTAAAGCAGCCAGCCCTGGGGCTGGGGAAGGGCCTGCAGAGCCTTCGGTGCCAGCTCTGCCTGGCCTGACCCTGCCCAGCAGGGGACTGTCTCTGCCACCCATCCTGACCGGGTGGCAGAGGCATCACCGCAGCTTCTCGTCCCCCAGGGAATATGAGCACGACGCTGTGAAGAAGAGGTTCACACGGGCCAGGGACAACTCAGACCAGGACGAAGGCTACGAGTGGGGCCCAGCCACAGATGTGTAGCAGCACCGCTGGCCTCTCTCCCACTGGGCAGCCTGGCCCCTTGGGCCAGCCCTGCCACAGCCCCATGCCACTGGGTCCACGTGACAGTCCAGGTAGTGCCACGCAGCACCCTGCAGCCAGGCTGGGTTGGGCCTAATCTTGCATAGCCCTCACCACCCAGCACCACCAAGTGCCTCCTTCCCCCTTTTGGCCGTAGACTGCTGCTGGAATAAAAGGGATGTTTTGATCAGGACGGGCTGTTTCCGTGCGTGCTGGGTGGCAGCGCGCAGGGGAAACCCATGCAGCAGGGTGGCCTTGCTGGGACCCAGGCACCTCTGCAGCCAGACACCCTGCCTGCCCCGAGAGGCATCAGTGCAGGAATCAGGCTTGGGTTGTGCCAACGTCTGGCACCACAGCAGGCTCAGGGTGCACGCCCCAGAGCTGAGCCTCCTCTGCTGCAGCCCAGCAGGGCTCCTGAAACGCAGCCTCCCACATTCCCCAAAACTTTTATTTTTACATCAGCCAAGCACACAGGCAAAATCCGGTCAGCGCTGCATCGGCCGTAGGGGCCCAGAGACCCACTCGTGAAAAGACAAATCACCAGGGGCTGGTCCTTGGGGCTCATGACCCCAAGTTCCCCGGGATGTGGGACTGGGCAGTGCCGTGTTCCCTTTCGCTGCGCCGAGGGACAGCCCCAAGGGCTGCGACCCAGTACCCTGGTGGGCTGGGGTCGGGCTGTGTGTGCAGAGTGGTTAAAGGCAGCACCAGGGAAAAGCAGAGGTAGTTTCCCAGCTCGGTGCAGCAGGTCTAATAAGGAGTTCATTTGCACCCCCAACAGGCCCCTGGCAAAGCCAGGGAGGAGGAGCGGGTGCCAAGGGTGCTGCTGCCCTTAAGGCTGAGTCTGGGAGCTGCCGGCTCTCCCTCGGGGGTGCCAGCGTGTACCCACACACTGGAGTGCAGGGTCAGCGCTGCTCTGGGGCTGTGCTAGCGCAAGCCCCAGAGCTGTGCTTCCAGCACCATCCCCACATGGGGAAAGGCACCGTTGGTGAATGTAAAAGCACTATCTGTGGTGACTGGATGGGGTGACCTTTCACGCGGGGTCCCCTCTCCTCCTGCCAGCACCAGGCCAAGGTGAGGGACCCTGTGAAGCAGCAGGACAGGCACCGTGCAGGCACTGTGAGGCAGGGAGGGGTGAATGGAGGGGGAGGAGGTGCCCAAACCATGGCACCATAGTCCCTGAGGCTGCTCAAGCTGGGTATCAGGCCCCTAGAGTCTCCCACTGTGTCCTGAGTAAAACCGGAGAGGTGCAGGATTAGGCCCTGCTGGGGACCAGAGGGCTCCCATGAGGGTGCTGGGGCAGGAGGCAGAGCCTATCCTGCCCTCGCTGCCCCGGGCTCACTCCTGCCTGGGCCCAGGCACGTGCAGCGACAGCCGGGCACGGCCAGCGGCTCAGAGGAAGATGGGCTGCTCCTGCCCGGTCAGTAAGCGGTACGTGGAAGCCGGCATGGTCTTGATGTGGACCTAGGCAGAGACGCACAGATCAGCTGGGAGATGCCAAACCCCGGGCTGGAGGGTGCTGGTGCAAAACTCTGAGCCCAGCCTGCTCCATGTACAGCCACAGCTGCCCCGGGGAGCCCTGGCCATCACCCAGCCCGGGCCCGGCTCACCTCACTGACTGCCTGCGTGAGGATCTGGATGATCTTCTCGTGGGGCGTTGCCACCACGCTCTGCCCATTGATCTCGATGATGCGGTGCCCCACGCGGATGCCACCTCTCTCTGCGATGCCCCCACGCATCAGGCTGCAGATCTGGGGAGCAGGGAGGGCTGGTAAGATCAGAGCTGTGCCCACAGCCCAGGGCCATACGCAACCACCACCCCAAACCCTCTCATCCGCGCAGGCTCCCGGCAAGAGCTCTGGACCTGGGTGCTGTCTCTTCCAGCCCATGGGCGTGCAGCGAGGGCAGGGATGTCCCTTTGCATTGCTGCCACGGGAGTGATGTGCTGAGCTGAAGGGCAAGGGCAGCCCGCAGGCTTTTGTTCCCCCGGCTGGCGGAGAGCTCATCTCCCCCCATCCAGGCATCAAACCCTCGTGCTCCCATCAAGCCTGGGCTGCAGAGCCAGAGCTTCTCCTTGGGGCGGCAGCTCCTGCGCACCTGTGGCGTAACTGCATCTCCAATACTATTGGGAGCATCGGTCGGTGCATGATGCAGCCGTGCCACCCCCTCCACCACTCACCCACCCACCCCATCAACTCCCGCTGGTCCTGGAAATGCTCCTCTCCGCCTTTCCAACGCAACCACTGTGGAGCCCAGAGCAGGAAGGGGCTGGGGCACTGGGGACAGCAGCAACTGTCACTAAGGTCACGCCAAGAAAGCCAGGAAGAAACCACCACCCCAAAAGCAAACAGCTAAGGAGCACCAGGGAAACGGATCCAGCCGCTGGTGCTGCAGGAGAGCTACGAAGAGTCTTTTGCTGTGGCACAAGTGCCGAGTGAAACCTCAGCCCTGGCAGGCACAAGGAGCGCTGGAGCTGTGCGCTTGTCCATGCGGACACAGCCAGAACTGTGTGTCCCCCTGCCAGACGGGTGGCTGAAGCCCTCGGCTGACCCCGGCCTGGCTCCAATCCTGTCCCCGCGGGCACTCACCACGCCGTTCTCAACACAGAAGCCCAGCTGGTACTTGGAGTCAGGGCGCCGGATGACAGCCGTGGTGACAGGGGGACAGTGCACGATGTTCAGCGTCACCTCTGTCTGGTGCTTCAGCTCCTGGAAGATGGGATGGGGCTTTGTCAGAATTTGGAGAGCTATTCAGCGTGGTTGAGAGGGGCGACGCAGCCATGTTGCTCATGGGAGGGCTGAGGGTTAGCAACCTGTTTTCAATGGGGAAACAGGCACACACAGGGATACTGCCACGCTCAAATTTGGGGAGAACTTCTAAATCCAGTCCAAGACGTCCCGCTCTGCCCCTGAGGCCACACTGTCCTTGCTTTCAGCTCCTTCCTGCCCAGGAGGTAGAAGATGCAACAGGTTCCCTCCAGGACAGGTGCCTGCCTCTTCACCCACCCCCCTCCTTGGGCAGGGCCCTGCCCGCACCCTGCCGCAGCAAGTTTAGTCCCTAGCTTTGTCCCTGCCTTGTCACATCCCTTCCTCCCGAGCACTCAGGGCAGGGACTGTCGCAGCCCACAGGATGGGTATGGCCCCCCACGCTCCTGCCCGCTCTGCCCCCACAGCCTCCCATCACCCATCCGCCCCCAAGCCGGGAGCATCGGGGGGGACCCCGGAGTTACAGACACTCCCAGATGCATTCAGGCCGGTCCCCGTCTCTGCCAGCACTCGCCCTCCTGCCAGGGTGGAGGCAGGAGGCCACCCCGAGCACAGCCCCGGCTCACCCGGATGATGCTCTGGCAGGTGGTGAGGGGCAGCCCCACCAGGCTCGTCCCGTTGACGGACATGAGGCGGTCCCCGATGCTCAGCTCGCCCGACTTCTCCGCGGGGCCCCCGTGCATCAGGTTGGCAATGACCACCGTGGGCAGGATGGAGCCCCAGCCCGACTCCACGATGGCGATGCCCAGGATCTCCCCCTTCTGCTTCCGGATGCAGACCTGGTGGGGGGCACAGATGGGTTATGGTCACCAGAGCCACGGGGTATGCGTCCCAGCCCCAGCACGGGTGTCCTGGGCTCACAGCCAGCTGGGATGGGGCCCAGTTTTGTAGGGAGCACCTCAGCTGCTCAGGGAGCCGTGGAGGGGATGACACAGAGGTGCCAGCGGGTACCCCACACTGTCCCCACCCCTCCAAAGCAGCTCTTACGTCCTTGCAGTTCTCCTGCCGGGAGAAGTGGGTCAGCTCCGCATTGTATTGCTCCTGGTCCTCAAGGGCACGGCTGTACTGGCGAGGGCTCAGCTCGCTCGGGTCGATGCTGTTGGCCTCCAGGAAGCGCTGGTAGGCCACGCCGAACGCCTGCCCGATAGCCTGAGCAATGATCTGGGCCTGGGGAAAGACAGGGGTTTTTCGTGCCCACGGCTCAGGGCCAACGGTCTCATTGGCCAAACTGGAGCCAGCAGCTGCCAGCGCCCTGCAACGCCCAGCACAGGCACTGCGCCCTGGGAGCTCCAGGGCATCCTGGCTCCTTCTCTGCCTGAATGGGCCCCTTTACGATGCCAATCCTCCCCCCTTTCCTTGCTGGGCCCCTCTGTGTCACAGAGGTGCTCAGGCTGGGCTCCTTCCTCCTCTATGTGTCTCCTGGGAGACCCCAGCACAGAGACCCAGAGCACCTGGTCATTACAGCGGGACGGGGCCCAGGACCCCAACACCACCCTGCCCTCCCGAGGGACTCGTGTGTTGCCTCACGTCGGCCGAGTGGAAGACATGGCAGATCATCTTGTAGAGCCGCTTCTCCTCCGCCACCTCTGATGGCCGAGGCAGTTTCCGGCGCGCCATGAGCACCACGAGGGAGCCGATGTCGGCGATGTAGGAGATGGTCTGGAGGGAGTGATCCATCATGGCCTCCTGGCAAGGGGGACACAGGCAGAGACGTTCATCCCTCCCCGGCCTGATGGACCCCCTGGGCAGCCCGCGAGCCAGCCAGGCACCGCCACAAGCAGGAAGGGTTTGGGTTCAAACGCCACCGTGCTGGGATGCAGCTCAAATGCCTGGCACATGCTGTGCAGAAACCATGTCTACGCTAAAAGGTACAAACAGCTCCTTCGATCAAGGACTCATCCATGTCTCTGGGTGCTGCTGGGGGGCAAGACATCTCTTCCCTCTTACTATAAAGCAGAAACTAATCCTGAGGCAGAGCTACAGACATTTCAAGCCTAGGTTCCCTGGAGCTTGGTCTGAGAACCCAGCAGCTCCCGCGAGGCGCAGTTTGCATTAGAAGCCTCGTGCAGCCATGCAGAGCGCCGAGGGACGTGACACGTCTGCGTGGGATGGGTGCGGAGTGACATGTCTCCTCCCAGATGCATGTCCTCACTCATAGGCCATCCTTGGACATGACCCCATTGGCGCGGGTGCAAAGCAGAGACCCCAAGGCCAAACAGGAAGGTTTCAGCAGCCCCAAAGCCATGTGGGTGCTCCCGTTCCCCACTCACCTGCGTGTCAGCCGTGAGCACCTTGATCCTCTGTGTGGAGACAAACAGATCCACCTCTGTCATGGGCTGGGACTCTCCCTCCGGTGCCTGCAGAACGAAGCGCCCAGGAGAGGTCACTGCTGCTGCCAGGACTCCTCTGGGTCCCTGCCCCACAGCCAGGAGGTCCCCCTGGGCAGGTCCTGAGCGCAGCCCCAAGCCCACGAGGGGCCAGGCTGGTGGCAGTCATGCCCCCCTACCCTCCCGCACCTTGATTCTGTCCACTGCCTCCTGGGCCTGTGCCATGCGGACGCTGGTCGGGGGGTTCCTCTCCGAGACCAGCTGCGTGGAGCCCAGGTACTTTGCCCCAAAAATCACACCGTCCAGCAGATCCTCCGGGTCGCAAGGGCCTGGAACTGAGACATTGGGAGGGACTAAGCAGGGGCTGGTCCCCCCAACTCTGAAAACTGGGGGTACCAACTCCTACTGCCCGTTAGCTGCATTCCTACACGTGGCAAAGCAGCTCAGCGCTTGGGAGACAGGCTCCTGGCATCACCGAGGGACCAACTCTGACCCCAGGGCTGCTTCCCCTTTCCCTTGGACACACCCTGGCATCCCTTTCTCCCTTCCCAAGCCTGTGCATCCCCCCTCCCCAATCCCTGAAGCACGCCCATTTCCTCAGCGAAGGGCGAGCTGGGATCAAACAAGCCACCCAGAGTCTGCAGCCACGTTCCTACCCTGCATGAGTGCAGAGCTGGGTGCTCCCTCCCCGGCTGGGACCCCTGGCCACCCCGCATTTGGGGTCAGAGCAGGAGGCAGTGGGTCAGGACTCGTGGGTGCTTTTGCTGCTCGAGCATAGAAGCAACTCACCCTCTTTGAAGGCTGGGCAGGAGGACGGGGGTTCCCTGTTCTGCAAAGCAACGAGAGAGCAGGTGAGGCTCTGGTTGGGATCCCAGGGATTCAGCCTGCCCGCCCCACGGCCAGGCTGCCCCTGGAGCACCAGGACAGCGAGGGCACAGCGTCCTGAGGCTGCGGGGGGGGGGGCGCGTAGGGTCCTGGGGCTGGGGGGCTGTTCGGACCCACCAGCCTCTTCCCCGGGGCATACACGGATCAGACAGCCATGCATGTATCCCCCCGCATTCAGGGCAGCAGGAGCCAAAGCCAGTACCGAGGGTCTTGTCTAGGCACCCCAGCAGCATGAGGCCCTGTAAGACCCGAGGAAAAGACGTCCCTGGCTCCCCTCTGCCCCCACCCAAAACCCCAAGAGGGAGCAGAGCCAAGGGGCATGTCCTGGCTCGCTGCCGCACCGTTGCAGCCCATGTGCGATGCACTCACGGTCACACCGCCTCGGGGTGGCTGCTCTGCCTCTGGGGCCAGAGCAGGAGGCAGGGCCACCCAGGCTGGCTCCGGGGAACCGTCCCGATTGCCCTCACAGGCGGAGTCGACCTCGCAGAGCCCCTCTCCGTAATACCAGCCACCAGAAGGTCCTTCCTCCGAGCTCTCCGGCCTCCCCAGCCCTTCAGGCTTCTCCACAGTGGCCAGTTCCTCCCGAGCCTGCAGCATCTCCAGGTTGGTCCCGGCCAGGATGTCGGAGCGGGCCAAAGGCGTCTCGGCGCTGGCCTCGGGCAGCCCCCCCTCGTAGCACAGGAGGCTCAGCAAGTCCTCCCGGTCGGCCTCGGCAAAGAGCAGGCCGTGGCAGGGCCGGGAGCAGGCCGAGTGCTGGGCGCAGCAGGGCCGTGTCTCCAGGCCCCGGCCCATGGCCACGTGCAATGGGCAGGGCCGGCACTTGCCCTGGCACTCCCCGGAGCTCCGCCGGGCCTGCTCGCCCGCCAGAGGGGCTGTGCCAGCGCTGGAGAAGGGCAGCAGGCCCTGCTCTGAGGCAGGCGAGTGGTCGCAGAGGTTGGGGTCGAGGGTCTCGAGCTGGGCCAGCAGGCCCTGGATCTCCGAGGGTTCGTCCTCTGCATCCTCGGCCCACTTGGCCCTGCTCGGGCGGGTGCCGGCCTCGGGGGCCTCGTCCCGCTCCATGCGCGTGGGGTCGCCGCTGCTGGGGCCTCGGGGGTGTCCTGCGTCCCGAGGGGTGCTCCCGGCGCTGGATTTCCAGTCAGCAGAGCCCTGCGGCCCTGCAGTCGCTGCCTCCTCTTCCATCTCTCTTCCCGAGTCCCGGCAAAGCTCAGTTTGTCCGCCCCCACCTCCTTCGAGGTCCGAGGCTGGAGCAGGCCCCGAGCTGGGCCCCAGACCCTTCCGCTGGCCCTCGGGGACAGGCAGGTCCCGCCCGGAGCTGCAGCCAGGGCGCAGGGTGATGAAGGGGGGCCCCTCCGGCTGCCCGTCACC